GAAAAATAAATCCCCTGAAAGACTGCTTAAGCAATTTTGGACTCTGCCAAGGCTGAAAGGTGACGATTGGGAAACTTCAATCTAGATATGGCTGAATTCCGAAAATTGTGGTCTAATTTGTACAAAATGTAAAAGATGACAGGGAAACTCAGATAATTTCTGAGGCGGTGTAAAATGAACCAGACATTCTCCCAAGATATAAATCGCATACTTGTATTACTGTTTGTTTGGGGGGGGTGCTAAGCATTACGCCCCGAGCAAGACGTGAAGCCACTAGGATGCAGGGTGTTGCAGAAGATTTGGAGCAAGAGCAGATAGGTGTGATAGAAGAAAGGATGAGGAGAAGGATAGTGGGTAGATCAAGGTAACTGGAGGTGTCGATCGACATTACATTTGAATAGTTGGAGATTATAGCTCTCAGGGAAACAGTAATTGGGAAGGCTGTTCCACAGGCGAGATTGTGAGGTATGAAGCTATTGGAGTAGAAGAGACGGCTACATTTAAAAGTTTCTACAGTGTAAGGGTGAGAGCGGGATGCCAGCCTCGTAGGGCGCTTGAATTCATGGAGTCTGGGAACCAGTGAAAGCTCATCGGAGCAATTACCATGAAAGTATTTGTAGAAAAGACAGAGAGAGGCGATGGCGCATCTGTGAGAGAGTGACTGTAGACGAGATGCCAGCTCAGGGCCAATTATATTACATATCTGTCTCTGGATCTTGTCAAGAACTCCGAGGTAAACAGAAGGTGCCCCAGACCATATATGGCAGCAATACTTCATGCAAGGGCGAATGGTTAATTTATATATTTGAAGTATTGATTCCGGGGAGAAAAATTTCCTGGCGCGGCACAGAGAGCCAACATTCCTCGCAAAACGCAAGTGGTTATTTAGTGTGAGAGAATATGAGAAAAAGAAAACATCATTAATGAGAGAGAAAAATAAAAGAAGAGGAATTAAGAAGACAGAAGATAACAATTGACACCGAATTTAAATTTTTGAACATCAAAGGCAAGAAAGCCACTAGGACGCAAGGGGTTATTGAGTGTGAGAAAATATGAGAAGAACTACTATTAAAGAGAGAGAAGAATAAAAGAACAAGAATTAAGAAGACAGAAGATAACAATTGACACTGCATTTAAATTTTTGAAGGTCAAATTTGACTGGAAAGCAAGAAGCCGGAAGAGAGTTCCACAAGCGAGAAATGCGAGGGGAGAGACTGTTAGCGTAGAATTTATGGTTACATCTAGCCATTTGAAATTGTAAAATGGTGAGACCGTGACACCAATCTACTATTGCTCTTAAATTGATGAAGTCTAGGTATCAAAGTTGAAAGCTCATCAGAAAAATTACCATGGAAATATTTATAGAAAAGGCACAGGGAAGCTAAATCACGGTAGTAGGAGAATGTCTGTAACCGAGATGCCAGGTCAGAATTAATAGCATTGCAACACCTTCTTCGTATTTTATCAAGAATCTCTAAAAACATAGCAAAGTACCAGACCAGATATGCTCTTTATCTGGAATGAAATCGAGTTCAAATAAATGTTCACATCATAGATTCTCATTGAGTGTGCAATTGACCATCGTGACCGGAAAAATCTCTGGATATGTTTGATGTTGATCAAAGTGAAAGGATACTAACTTGGTTTTGGTGCTATTGAACGTTCCAATCTATGTTTTTTTTTCCTTATGGAGCCGTTAAAACTGTTAGCAGAGAGATCAGCTTTAAGGATCTCTGAAAATCTTGAATTTATGAAGGACTACCATAAACTATGCTATCATTCACACAAATGTTTAAATGTTCTAATAAAAGCAAAATATGGTTCACTCGAGTTCTTAAAGAACTGTAGAGTTTAGAGAGAACAAAATCTAGTTCAGGAGCACATTTCTTAAGAACTATTGATTCCGACCCAAAATTCGGCTATAAATACCATAAGCTTTCAACTTGTGAAAAAAACAAGTATGCCAAACCATGTCAAACACCTTTGAGATATTTGAAGCTCACTCAAGTTTCATCATTCTCATCTAAAGCTTAATAGTCATTTTCAGTAACACATCAGCAGTTGACCTAGAAAAGCGAAAGTCATACTGCTTGCCTGAAAGAAAACCTCATGAAGTGAGATACTTAACCAATTCAGACTTGATTACAGTCTCTGGGTCTTTACTATAAAGAGATAGAAGGTTACTATGCTGATAGAAGGATCATATGGTACACCTGAGTTCTTAAAATGAGAATTATAGAAAAGGACTTCCAACAAGCAGGAAAGCAAGAAGCAGCAAGGTATTTATAGTACAGTTTAGAGAGAACAGGGGTCAGTTCAGGGACACATTTCTTAAGCACTATTGCAGGGATACCATCAAGTTTACATGTTTGTGGGGATCCGTGATAGCTATACGCAAATATAGTGGTGGTGTTAATAAATTATAAACATACGAAAGTGGGTAATCCTTTATTTTGATTGCCCAGTGCTTGTAGACAAAAGCCCACACAGGTACTGATTTATACCTACATGACAGTGTAATAGTTTACCTATTTGCCTATTTTTTTCGTTTATTTCCCTCACGCAAATGTCACTTTAAAATTATCATGCACTAACATACGCGTATATATATATATATATATATATATATATATATATATATATGTGTGTGTGTGTGTGTGTGTGTGTGTGTGTGTGTGTGTGTGATTTTAAAGAATCCTTGATAATGGCTTCTAGAATAACCGAATATTTTGAACATTTTTACACACTTGATATCTAGAAAAGAAAATACTTCGACGGAAGGAAAAAAATTTAAATAAAACGCTTCATCTCAGTACCCCATCAGTCGTCTTTAATAAAAATTAAAAGAGGGATTGCTGCCCAAATGCACAATTATATATATATATATATATATATATATATATATATATTAATAATTACGCATATACTTACGTTTACCTTTTGAACATGATCAATCGGAAAGCCATGAAAGTCTGAGTCATACTGTAAAAGTAAGTATATGTGTAATTATTAATATATACTTTATACCTATGTTTAATTGCATTGAGCACTGTTTTGTTTACGTCATTGATTAAAAAGTTATTTGTTCTATACCTATACCTATATAAATACGTCATCGCTTTATATATATGGTTAATCGAATCTCTTTTATTTAGATCGTTTCCCACATATATATATATATATATATATATATATATATATATATATGCAAATATAGGATTGGTTTACGGAATAAATTCCAATATTAAAAAAAAATACTATTCTTAAAAGAATACTCAATACATTAGTAGAGCAAATATAATTATTTATTCAAAAAATTATAACATAAATATGTTATAAAATCACTACAAAAATAGCCATTTTGTTTCAACGCTTCTGGTGTCTTATCAAGTGATGGTGTTGATTTGTGGAAACAAAATGGGTATTTTTTAGTGATTTTATAACATGTTTAAATACAATTTTCGAATAAATTATATATATATATATATATATATATATATATATATATATATATATATATATATATATATTAAAAAAGAAGAGAAGAGAGGTGCCGCAAACGTTTTTGGTTGTAATGTGGATTTTAAAAAAAAATATTATGCTTTATTTTTCATAATTTTACTAAACGTGTTTCTGGTCTCGCGACCGTCTTCAAGTAAAAGCGGAGATTTCCACATATTATTAAAAATAATTAATTTTTTCCTTATGTTTTTCAATGTTAAATATTCTCGATATGAGACATTCTCTGTTTTTGTGTTAGTAATCCGAATGTCTTTCTTGAACTGGCAGTGAAGAGTTCTGCGCGAAGGGTCATAAAACAATTAAGGTTGGTCCAAGAGAAATGATGAATTACTTATCGGCATTTTATCCTTTAATATTTTACTGACCAATATGTGTTCTTGGATCTGTTTCCATTTTCGTGTGTTTCTGTCGCGAGACCAGAAACACGTGTAGTAAAATTATGGAAAATAAAGATTAATATTTTTTTTTTAAAAATCAACATTACAACCAAAAACGTTCGCGGCACCTATATATATATATTGTATAGACCATTGTTTTTTGATTCAATTCTCATGTCTTTTTTTTTTTTCGAAAAATTCATTGGATAATGATAAAGATCTTTTTAACAGAATTTTTTTTTTTTTTTTTAAGCGTTTTCACCCCCAAGCAAAAAGAAGCCACTAGGACGCAAGGGGTTACAGAAGATTTGAAGCAAGGTCAGATAGGAGTGATAGAGGGAAGGATGAGGAGAAGGATAGAGGATAGATCAAGGCAACTGGAGATGTCGATTGACATTACATTTGAATAGTTGGAGATTATAGCTCTCAGGGAAACTGGAATATGGAAGGGAGTTCCACAGGCGAGAGGTGCGAGACATGAAGCTATTGGAGTAGAAGAGACGGCTACATTTAGGAGTTTCGATAGTGAAGGGGTGAGAGCGGGATGCCAGCCTCGTAGGGCGCTTGAACTCATGAAGTCTGGGAACCAGTGAATGCAGCTATATGGCAGCAATACTCCATGCAAGGGCGAATTGTTGATTTGTAGATCTGGAGGATCGATTCCGAGGAGAAAAATTTCCTGGCGCGGCACAGGGAGCCAACTTTCCTTGCGGTGGACGAAGCAACTGACTCAATGTATTTGTTCCATAAGTAAATCTCAAAACTAAACATCGCACACATACAGTGAAGTGTCAAAATAATACAATCAGTATTTAATCGAAAAATGACTGATCGTATACAATGAAAATCCAGGAAAATCTATGCATTAAAATGTTATAGATTCTCGTTTGTCTTATAAAAAGTATAAAACTTGGAAAAAATTAGGAAGCTTTATGAGCCAAAATAAAAATTCAGACTAACAAAAGTAAAGAACATTGTACTTTAAGCGATATAGTTTAGACCGACAGCAATAGAACACCTGCACTAGTCGACACAACACCTGTTTGAGTTAAAAGAACACACCTTATCAACTGACAAAATTAAATGACCCTAATCTTTGACAGCAGATATATAGATATTTGTGTCTGTGTGTTTTTGCAGATAGATAGATAGATAGATAGATAGATAGATGTGAACGGTAGTAAGTTGCATATTCTTTAGCTTCACTAATTGAATAATTTTCTAGTGGACTAAGGAGTGACTTTGTACTGACTAACATTCCTCTATGGTATCTCGAATTTATAAATTTAAGTGCTGTACTAGATTGGCGGCAAAGCCACATCATGTTATGGTAGAAATACATGCATCCGTAAGTTCAATGCTAACAGTTTATTACCCTTCCCAAGTATGGAACTCACTTCAACTACTAGCTTACCAATCAACATTTAGAAATTCTTAATAAAATAAAAAGTAGAATCTGCAATTTTACTGATCCTACCCTGGCATCTTAGATTCAGTCACCTACTACCAAAATATGGCTTCCTTGTATCTTTTCTATAAATACATTCGTTGTAATTTTTCTGATGAATGTTCATGTTTGGTGCCTAGATTTTATGAATTTATGTGCATTACAAGATTACCGGCGAAGCCACGTTCTTCAAAAATTTAAAAGCAATGTCAATCGTTATCTTCTGTCTTCTTAATTCTTATTCTTTTATTGTCCTCTCTCCTTAATAGTAGTTTTTCTCATACTCTTTTATACACAGTAACCCCTTTCCATCCTAGTGGCTTTATTGCCTTTGATCTTCAAAAATTTAAATGCAATGTCAATCGTTATCTTCTCTCTTCTTAATTCTTGTTCTTTTATTCTTCTCTCTCCTTAATAGTAGTTTTTCTCATATTCTCTAACACTCAGTAATCCCTTTGCATCCTAGTGGCTTTATTGCCTTTGATCTTCGAAAATTTAAATGCAATGTCAATCATTATCTTCTGTCTTCTTAATTCTTGTTCTTTTATTCTTCTCTCTCCTTAATAGTAGTTTTTCTCATATTCTCTAACACTCAGTAACCCCTTGCATCCTAGTGGCTTTATTGCCTTTGATCTTCAAAAATTTAAATGCAATGTCAATCATTATCTTCTGTCTTCTTAATTCTTGTTCTTTTATTCTTCTCTCTCCTTAATAGTAGTTTTTCTCATATTCTCTAACACTCAGTAACCCCTTGCATCCTAGTGGCTTTATTGCCTTTGATCTTCAAAAATTTAAATGCAATGTCAATCATTATCTTCTGTCTTCTTAATTCTTGTTCTTTTATTCTTCTCTCTCCTTAATAGTAGTTTTTCTCATATTCTCTAACACTCAGTAACCCCTTGCATCCTAGTGGCTTTATTGCTTTTGATCTTCAAAAATTTAAATGCAATGTTACCTGACTTTTTTAATACTTATGCTTTTGATCAATTCTCTCTTAATGGGAGATTTTCACATCTTGCAAATGCAGTGGAAGAAAGAAAAACAAAAGACATCGGAATAGAAGATTTAAGAGTTCAAAGGAACATCTCACATGGGATGATGGAAAGCGGCGAAAAGAAATTTGTAGTGATAAATACAAAATAAGGGGTACATTCTAATACAAGAGAATATGTGAAAAGACCAGTGGAAGAAAGAAAAACAAAAGACATCGGAATAGAAGATTTAAGAGTTCAAGGAACATCTCACATGGGATGATGGAAAGCGGCGAAAAGAAATTTGTATGATAAATACAAAATAAGGGGTACATTCTAATACAAGAGAATATTTGAAAAGACCAGTGGAAGAAAGAAAACAAAAGACATCGGAATAGAAGATTTAAGAGTTCAAAGGAACATCTCACATGGGATGATGGAAAGCGGCGAAAAGAAATTTGTAGTGATAAATACAAAATATAGGGGTACATTCTAATACAAGAGAATATGTGAAAAAGACCAGTGGAAGAAAAGAAAAACAAAAGACATCGGAATAGAAGATTTAAGAGTTCAAAGGAACATCTCACATGGGATGATGGAAAGCGGCGAAAAGAAATTTGTAGTGATAAATACAAAATAAGGGGTACATTCTAATACAAGAGAATATGTTAAAAAAAGACAATTGGAAGAAAAAAAAAACAAAAGACATCGGAATAGAAGATTTAAGAGTTCAAAGGAACATCTCACATGGGATGATGGAAAGCGGCGAAAAGAAATTTGTAGTGATAAATACAAAATAAAGGGGTACATTCTAATACAAGAGAATATTTTGAAAAAGACCAGTGGAAGAAAGAAAAACAAAGACATCGGAATAGAAGATTTAAGAGTTCAAAGGAACATCTCACATGGGATGATTTTCAAAAAAAATAAAATTTTAGTGATAAATACAAAACAAAATAGGGTACATTCTAATACAAAGAATATGTGAAAAAAGACCAGTGGAAGAAAGAAAAAACAAAAGACATCGGAATAGAAGATTTAAGAGTTCAAAGGAACATCTCACATGGGATGATGGAAAGCGGCGAAAAAGAAATTTGTAGTGATAAATACAAAATATGGAAAACATTCTAATACAAGAGAATATGTGAAAAAAGACCAGTGGAGAAAAAAAAAACAAAAGACATCGGAATAGAAGATTTAGAGTTCAAAGGAACATCTCACATGGGATGATGGAAATGGCGAAAAAGAAATTTGTAGTGATAAATACAAAATAAGGGGTACATTCTAATACAAGAGAATATGTGAAAAGACCAGTGGAAGAAAAGAAAAACAAAAGACATCGGAATAGAAGATTTAAGAGTTCAAAGGAACATCACATGGGATGATGGAAAGCGGCGAAAAAAAATTTGTAGTGATAAATACAAAATAAGTGGTACATTCTAATACAAGAGAATATGTGCAAAAAAGACCAGTGGAAGAAAAGAAAAAAAAAAAGACATCGGAATAGAAGATTTAAGAGTTCAAAGGAACATCTCACATGGGATGATGGAAAGCGGCTTAAAAAGAAATTTGTAGTGATAAATACAAAATAAAGGGGTACATTCTAATACAAGAGAATATGTGAAAAGACCAGTGGAAAAAAAAAAAAAAAAAAAGACATCGAAATAGAAGATTTAAGAGTTCAAAGGAACATCTCACATGGGATGATGGAAAGCGGCGAAAAGAAATTTGTAGTGATAAATACAAAATAAAGGGTACATTCTAATACAAGAGAATATGTGAAAAGACCAGTGGAAGAAAAAAAAACAAAAGACATCGGAATAGAAGATTTAAGAGTTCAAAGGAACATCTCACATGGGATGATGGAAAGCGGCGAAAAAGAAATTTGTAGTGATAAATACAAAAAAAAGGGGTACATTCTAATACAAGAGAATATGTGAAAAGACCAGTGGAAAAAAAGAAAAACAAAAAGACATCGGAATAGAAGATTTAAGAAAAAAAAGGAACATCTCTCATGGGATGATGGAAATTCGGCGAAAAAAATTTGTAGTGATAAATACAAAATAAAGGGTACATTCTAATACAAGAGAATATGTGAAAAGACCAGTGGAAGAAAAAAAACAAAAGACATCGGAATAGAAGATTTAAGAGTTCAAAGGAACATCTCACATGGGATGATGGAAAGCGGCGAAAAAGAAATTTGTAGTGATAAATACAAAATAAGGGGTACATTCTAATACAAGAGAACATGTGAAAAGACCAGTGGAAGAAAAGAAAAACAAAGACATCGAAATAGAAGATTTAAGAGTTCAAAGGAACATCTCACATGGGATGATGGAAAGCGGCGAAAAGAAATTTGTAGTGATAAATACAAAATAAGGGGTACATTCTAATACAAGAGAATATGTGAAAAGACCAGTGGAAGAAAGAAAAACAAAAGACATCGGAATAGAAGATTTAAGAGTTCAAAGGAACATCTCACATGGGATGATGGAAAGCGGCGAAAAAGAAATTTGTAGTGATAAATACAAAATAAGGGGTACATTCTAATACAAGAGAATATGTGAAAAGACCAGTGGAAGATTAAAAAAAACAAAAGACATCGGAATAGAAGATTTAAGAGTTCAAAGGAACATCTCACATGGGATGATGGAAAGCGGCGAAAAAAGAAATTTGTAGTGATAAATACAAAATAAAGGGGTACATTCTAATACAAGAGAATATGTGAAAAGACCAGTGGAAGAAAAAAAAAAAAAAGACATCGGAATAGAAGATTTAAGAGTTCAAAGGAACATCTCACATGGGATGATGGAAAGCGGCGAAAAGAAATTTGTAGTGATAAATACAAAATAAGGGGTACATTCTAATACAAGAGAATATGTGTAAAGACCAGTGGAAGAAAGAAAAACAAAAGACATCGAAATAGAAGATTTAAGAGTTCAAAGGAACATCTCACATGGGATGATGGAAAGCGGCGAAAAGAAATTTGTAGTGATAAATACAAAATAAAGGGTACATTCTAATACAAGAGAATATGTGAAAAAAGACCAGTGGAAGAAAAAAAAAACAAAAGACATCGGAATAGAAGATTTAAGAGTTCAAAGGAACATCTCACATGGGATGATGGAAAGCGGCGAAAAAGAAATTTGTAGTGATAAATACAAAATAAAGGGGTACATTCTAATACAAGAGAATATGTGAAAAAGACCAGTGGAAGAAAGAAAAACAAAAGACATCGGAATAGAAGATTTAAGAGTTCAAAGAAACATCTCACATGGGATGATGGAAAGAAAGCGAAAAGAAATTTGTAGTGATAAATACAAAATAAAATAGGAACATTCTAATACAAGAGAATATGTGAAAAGACCAGTGGAAGAAAGAAAAACAAAAGACATCGGAATAGAAGATTTAAGAGTTCAAAGGAACATCTCACATGGGATGATGGAAAGCGGCGAAAAGAAATTTGTAGTGATAAATACAAAATAAGGGGTACATTCTAATACAAGAGAATATGTGAAAAGACCAGTGGAAGAAAGAAAAACAAAAGACATCGAAATAGAAGATTTAAGAGTTCAAAAGGAACATCTCACATGGGATGATGGAAAGCGGCGAAAAGAAATTTGTAGTGATAAATACAAAATAAGGGTACATTCTAATACAAGAGAATATGTGAAAAGACCAGTGGAACAAAAAAGAAAAAAAAAGACATCGAAATTTAAAGTTCAAAGGAACATCTCACATGGGATGATGGAAAAGAAATTTGTAGTGATAAA